CTTACTGGGCTAAGTGGTTACAGTGAATGCTTAATGATGCCTTACTAGGCTAAGTGGTTACACCAAATCTTCAGTAATACCTTACTGGACTAATTGGTTACAGTGAATGTTCAGTAATCCCTTACTGGGCTAAGTGGTTACAGTGAATGTTTAGTTAACTCTTACTGGGCTAGGTGGTTACAGTGAATGTTTCGTTAACTCTTACTGGGCTAGGTGGATACAGTGAATGTTTAGTTAACCCAACTGGTCTAGATGGTTACAGTGAATGTTTAGTTACCCATACTGGTCTAGATGGTTACAGTGAAAGTTTAGTTAAACCATTACTGGGCTAGGTGGTTACAGTGAATGTTTCGTTAACTCTTACTGGGCTAGGTGGATACAGTGAATGTTCAGTAATCCCTTACTAGGCTAAGTGGTTACACCAAATGTTCAGTAATACCTTACTGGGCTAATTGGTTACACCAAATGTTCAGTAATCCCTTACTAGGCTAATTGGTTACACCAAATGTTCAGTAATCCCTTACTGGGCTAAGTGGTTACAGTGAATGCTTAATGATGCCTTACTAGGCTAAGTGGTTACAGTGAATGTTTAATGATGCCTTACTAGGCTAGATATCATAAATACAGTGATTGAAAATGTTTGAGTTTGAAATAATTGCCTGATGATTATGTTCTCAAACTGTAAGAAATATTACGTAATATAATTATTTGTGCTCTTATTTCAACAATTCGCTAACTAACATGAAAAACTTAGAATTTTCTTATCACTTTTATTACATACCTATTTCTCAAAACATTTACTTAATATCACACTTTTCAAAGCTAAGACAAAGGGTATGTAGAGTCCAATATTTGCGACAATATCGGAGGATGAGTTAAGTTTCTATAAGCCAGTAATAAAGTAAAATAAGGGCTAACCTGGCTATACGAAGCCATTCTGTAGCTTCCGAATCTCTCATTTGTTCAGTGAACATAATTCCAAGTTCTCCTGCTGCATAAGGGGGTAAGAAGGTATCTTCTTTAATTTCCTTCTCACTAAAATCATAGAAAAAGAATACTGTGTTGTAAAATATTTATTTCAATGGCGGGTGTACCCAAAAACTTAATATATTTTTAACATTAACTATTGTTTAATGGCAGCCAATTAATTACATTTTAATGGATGAATTTATAAAAAATAAACACTACGATGGTTATTATATATCCATTTTAATTTACTTTACAGACATCTACCTTAACACACAGTGAAGTAACTCGTCAATATTAGTCTAGCATCATGCTAAACACGTTAACACTGATGTAAGTAGCCATTTTTTTTTCTCTCTTGCTTTTTTTTACCCACCCTTGTAACTCTCACAACTAAGAAAACTTACCTCCTTTATGTAAAGAAAGTAAACTACAGAAAATATTTTTTTTAATATATATATATATATTAAAAAATTTGAAAAAATAAAGGGAAGTTTGTCAATTTCGATTATTATTTAATTTCTAAACGTAAAGGTAGTAGATCTCTCTTTATGGGTGAGGGTGGGGGGGGGGGATTTCAAGTTTTGGAGGATAATTGAATTCAAACATTATTAAGGCAACTGTTCTGAATGAGGCAACAATAAAGTCATGCATCTGATTACATCAGTTAAATTTCAGTTTATAATGCAACAAAGGTAGTCTTAAAATTAATTATATTGTTCTCACTTTTGGACACATAGAAAACAAAATGACCTAGTTTCTGGATCTCGGATCCAGAGAGATTAAACGCTGGTTTGAATTTCAAAGTAAACTAAAAACATTTTAACTTTTGTTTAAGAATTATCCTAATTTTTATTTCTACATAGGTACTGTTAAAAGTGCTATTACACCATTCAAAGGAAGGCAACAATAGTAAACTTTCATGACTAGAAACAAACAACATTCAGTAAAATACAATACTTATCTCTAAACATGAATAGCATAATCAGTCTGTACGATACGAGGTCACAAATTTCAGTTCAATACAGTATTTTGTAATTCTACGATAACTATTAGTTGTTATTCACTTTAGCAGGCTGATAATGTTACCTACCTCTGGACAACTTCTTTAAAATATTCTTCAGCCTGGAGAGGACAGTCAAGGTACTTCAGAACAACACCTCGTAATAATGTTAACATGTAGTAGTCATCTGGTGCTACATTACGTTCCACATAACAAACAAAAACAATTAATTAGCATAATACCAAACCTGCGACAAAACTAACACTGACACATCTTAGTATACCAAACCTGACACAAAACTAACACTGACACATCTTAGTATACCAAACTAACCACAAAACTAACACTGACACATCTTAGTATACCAAACTAACACATTTTAGTATACCAAACCTGACACAAAACTAACACTGACACATCTCAGTATACCAAACCCACCACAAAACTAACACTGACACATCTTAGTATACCAAACCTGACACGAAACTAACACTGACACATCTTAGTATACCAAACTAACACTGACACATCTTAGTATACCAAACCTGACACGAAACTAACACTGACACATCTTAGTATACCAAACCTGACACAAAACTAACACTGACACATCTTAGTATACCAAACCCACCACAAAACTAACATTGACCATTTTCCACAAAGCCAGGAAGAAAACATGAATTAGTAAAATTCCTATTTTGATCATAAGTGTACCATCACTTTAACATAAAATTGACTAGCCGTGGTATTATTTGTAGCAAGCAGGCATACCTATTCAATGATATCAATGTAACCCAAGAAAACAATAATGACAATAAAATTTTGTACATCTTCAATTCTCATTAAAAATACAACAACTTATTTTTTCTTGTGAATGTTTAGGTAAAACAAGTCTCTCAATCAGGAATGAATGGATCCAAAAAATACACAGATGTTCTGAAATTATTTCCAAACACAAATCTGTTGGGTTCTTACATTAATGAAAACCCATCGTTTACAATTTCACATTTATAAAATAAACGGTAACAGCTGAAGTACCTCTATTTCTCTTGAGGTGTTTAAATTCTTTGATAATGTCTGATAGCAGATGTCTTTAAATTATGCTAAGAAAGATTATACCTTTTCAAACCCATAGATGGAGCCAGGTGAGCTTCTTACATTTCCAAAGATAGATATAAAAGCTTAAAATTCACTTAATCATAACACTGTTTAAAGTTTTCTTTAAAAACTATCTTTACTTTCTTCAAGATGTTAAGGAATTATGGAAGATCAAAAATATATAAACTACAAAACAAGAAGTCCGACATCTCAAGGAATTATGGAGGATCAAAAATATATAAACCACAAAACAAGAAGTCGACATCTCAAGGAATTATGGAGGATCAAAAATATATAAACCACAAAACAAGAAGTCTGACAGCTCAAGGAATTATGGAGGATCAAAAATATATAAACCACAAAACAAGAAGTCCAACAGCTCAGGGAATTATGTAAGATCAAAAATATATAAATCACAAAACAAGAAGTCTGACAGCTGGAGCACTTATGAAAGACAGGCCTTTCTCATACTGTTTATGTGAGTAGTGAATGTTATTCTCTGTACCTTTGACTTTATTTACTTTGGAAATATTACTTTCAATCATATATAGATACATCCTCAGCAGATGTGGAGCTTTTGCCAAGACAGGAAAACCATGCCACAGGTACAGTACTTCCTGTAAAGAGAAAGCTAAGCATTATGTATATCACCACTAACTTAGAAAACATAAAATGTAAACAGAACATGACACTTTAGTACATAATACAGCCTGGAATAAGTTGGAACCAGGAAACAAAATCCTGTTATTATGTATATCACCACTAACTTACAAAACATTAAATGTAAACAGAACATGACACTTAAGTATATAATACAGCCTGGAATAAGGTGGAACCAGAAAACAAAAATCCTGTTATTCTGTATATCACCACTAACTTACAAAACATTAAATGTAAACAGAACATGACACTTAAGTATATAATACAGCCTGGAATAAGGTGGAACCAGGAAACAAAATCCTGTTATTATGTATATCACCACTAACTTAGAAAACATAAAATGTAAACAGAACATGACACTTTAGTACATAATATAGCCTGGAATAAGGTGAAACCAGGAAACAAAATCCTGTTATTATGTATATCACCACTAACTTACAAAACATTAAAATGTTAACAGAACATGACACTTTAGTACATAATATAGCCTGGAATAAGGTGGAACCAGGAAACAAAAATCCTGTTACTATGTGGTAAACATATAATAATTTCATGCCTAGAAGTCTTAAAATAAAAATTTAGGGTCATTATTATCAGTTATAAAAAGTCTATAAAACAGAAATAGGACTGCACTATGTAGGTGTCTCACAAAAATAGCACAAACTGGATAAAAAAAAAGGATGTATCAAAAGACGTAATAGAGATTCAAACTTTTGTCTGCACGTGTGTATTCTACTTGTTTTTTTTACTCCTATCCAACTCCTTAACTTAATAAAAACTTTTTTAAGGAAGAAAATATCTATACACCAAACACAAGAAACATTCTATTTCTTCATTTGAAATTGAAACTAGCATATTTTTTAATTTATACATTTCTTTTCAAGTTTAACATGTCAAAAAAATGTGGAATTATAAAAACTGGTATCAAAAGGTAAGGAAGAGATTGATTTGATCCTTAATAAAAATAAAAATTTATCTGACTAAGCCTATTATTTATTTTAACTATACACTTGTCCTGTTGTTTCTATGATGTTTATGTTTTGTAACCTAGTAACAAGTAAGATTTACCTTTTCTATTTCAGTAGAGGTTAGAAATTGTTTTAAATAACATTGTAGTTGATCATATTGTTGATAGTTTCTATTACACAATGTGAGACGTACTTTATATAAATGAGAATCCCAATTCTGGCCAATCACAAAATTAGAATAAAAAGTACTTGTTCAGTATGTTTAAATAAAGGTGTATTATCCAATCATCCTTCAATAGTCCATTGTTTATATAAAGGTGTATTATCCAATCATCCTTCAATAATCCACTTTTTATA